TTGTTAAAATAAAATGAGATTCGCTGGTATTTATAGTACATTAATTAGATTGCAAGTCTTTCTATTTATATCAACACTGATGGAATTCTTCTGATAAAATCTTTAAGGTAAATCAAAAGTCAGAAAAGAAACAAATTGACTATCAATCGGTTAGACGTACCCTCATTCGACCCGCTAAATTTGAGACAAAATCATCTGCTGGTTCTTTTTCACGAAATTGAAAACGCATTGCTTTTAAATTCTAAATACAAAATAAAAATACAACATATGTATTTTTTGATTAACATTATTTTACTTTGCGCTCATCAAAAATCCATTCTTTTGGTCCTTCTTTTCGTAACATAGCCATATATTGATAAACAATATAAATAATGTCTTGCCATCGATCTAATTTCAAAGAAAAAGTTTTTTTTATTCATTAAATAAAACCATCAATTTTATTTTACATAATCCTTCGATTGTTAATTCTAAATGGACATAAAAAAAATTAAAACCAGGTGCAACATTTTTTTCTCCAGATACCAATTCAGTAGCAAAGCCCAACTTTTTTAAATATGATAATAATGAACCATCACCTTCATGTCCAATCAAGTGTGAAAGATGTGATTCAGGCTGAATAAAATCGAGGTATTCTTCAACACATGATGATTAAAATAAAATAATAAACTGTGTTATACTTACATTACAATAATATAAATGTTTATGATCAGGTATAACCCAATGTATTCTTAAATGATGATATTCTTTAATAGGAACAACATAACAAATTGTCTTAAAGAATAAAAATATTAAATAAAAAAAAGAAATTTTGAAAATCTATTGAAGCAAAAACTAACTTTTCGTTTACTTTCACCATATGGATCCGCAGGATATTTTACTTGTTTTAATTTTTTATTTGGAACATCATTAAAACTTTTCATAACAAGTGATTGAAGTTCATCAAGTGATTCTAAATAATTAATTTGATATTTATTTTATTTTTGATGAATTAATCACATACGATTGCCAAGTACAGCTAAACTCATTCGATTTGATGAATATTCAGCTGTATAAAAATCCGAAAGTACTTGTCGAATATCAATACCACGTTGCATAGGCGTTGTTCTTAATGATTCACTATTACCAGTTCGAAATCTTGAGTAGGGATGTTGAGGATCTGATGTCGAACTTTCTAAATGATAAACACGCTGCGTATCGTTAGATAATTCTCCTTCGTATTCAGAATTAACTGCTTCTATTTCTCGATCGATAGATGATGCAGAAAAAAGTGGTGAAATAAAAAATTGTGCAAAACTAAAATAGATAAATTTCATTTGATTAAATAATGAAAATATTAACAAAACTTACACATCAAGTGCTTCGGGTAATAAACTTGGATTAATATCAAAATAATAATTTGTATGATCACCACTAGTAGAAGCATTGGAATGGCCACCATTTTCTTCTATCAATTTTGAATATTCATTTTCACCTGGATACTATAAATATTTCATATGATTATTTTCATTATTAAGAAACGTAAATAAAAATTTACTTTCAAACTACCCATAAAAAGCATATGTTCAAGAAGATGAGCAATACCAGGAACATCTCTTGGATCAGCTAAACTACCAATTGAAACATCAAGTGCAGCAGCTGCTTTATCAATATTTGGATGACTTATCAGTACAACAAGCATCTCATTTGAAAGTTCTAATCCACGATAATTCCATGAGTCACTATCACCTTTTTTTATATTATCAACAATACGAACAATTGTTGAATCTACGGATGCCATTTGTTTTTCTGATTCAATAGCTATGAAATGAAATTTTCAAATGAATAGACAAGTTGTATTTCGGCGAGGAAGATAGTTGCAGATCTAGAAAGAAAATAAAATAGCTAACGAGAAAGAGTTACCAGCTTAAACATCGCTTTTTAGCTGATACTTTGTGCATAAGCAGACCTTGATGAGACTAGTAAAAGCCTAAAAGGATGAGGACTAATAGACCTTTCTTTCTAAGTTATAGTCATTTTACCGAAATTTCAGCCTATGTATGGGAGGACCCTCTCTTTGACGTTGTATCGTATCCGAATGAAGAACAAAAGCATCAAGAGAAAGAAAAAGAAGCAAAAAATGGGAATACCGAAAAGCGAGGTATGATGTGAAAGAATATATGAAGGCATATGAAGATATGCTTGTAACACCTTCCCGGGCAGACAAGAAAAGAAAAATACGGCGTTTCTATGCGTAAAAATTCGTTTTTTGTAGAAAAAGTCGAGTTGCTAACAATAAAAAATGTCTCCATCATTTTACTTTTAAAAGATTGATAAGAGAAAGACGCGTAACAAATCGAAGGCCCTTTAAAAAAAATGTTACGAACGATATCGATATATTTAACGAACTGATGATCCGATAAGAAAATGCGCAAAACGACGATGATTTATAACTTCGATAAATTTGAGCAGGAGATCAGACAATCATCAAAATATGAAGACGATAAATAGTATGATTTTGACCTGAAATGTCTCGAACAGTTATGTTTGTACGACGACAAAGAAAACTAGCGCAAAAACAAATTATTTGAAAAGATATTAAAATGTTTGTGTGATGTTCACAGAAGACGTAAAATTGAAAATGAGGACAAGAATGTATTATCGAAAATATTCGAAGCGAAAGATTACAATTAAAGAGATTTTCTGCCAATATTCTATGCGAAGAAGAAGGCAAAAATCATTATCCATATGAAACCGAGTGTCAATATATGAATAACGAGTTTGAAGTAGTAGTGGGTAATATTGCAATATCCAGGGGTGGCGCGAGTCAGCCAACATGGGGGGGGGGTGTAACGAAATGTTTTTGATTTTTTAGGGGGTGTAGCACGATCTTTGTTCAAAAACTTCAGAAAATTTGCCGATTTTGTTGAGCAAAAAATAGAAATTTTCAAAGATTGGGGGAGTGTTACACCCCCCCCCCCCCCCCCCCCCGTCGCGCCACCCCTGGTAATATCATATATTAAAAGAGATTCCAAATTTCAAGGAATTCCTATTGTTCCATTGTGCGTTCTCGACTTTGTGAGATGATGTTGAGAATACATAAATGTTATTCTCTCTCTCGTAGAGAAGAGTCTAGTAATCATAAATTGTTTTCTTGCTTGATTGATTGTTTGTGTTTCCGCAGGGTCAAAAGAACATTGAAAATCGATTTTTCGGAAAAGACATTTCTCGAGGTATTTCAATGCGGGGAGTTCGAATCTGAAGTCTGTTAGGTGGCCATGGTTAGGGGTGGGTGGGTGAAGGGCGGAAGGGAGAGGTCGAAAAAATATTTAAAATCAATTTTTCACGGTTTTCATTTGTTTTTCCAGTAAATGTAAAGAAAATGCATTTCTACGAGAAAGACCTAAGCGAGTCCTCGAACGAACGTTACTTGTATTCTGTTGTTAAATATACGGATAGGTGCGTTCGATGTGTTTAGAACATAACAAGCTGAATCTTTTTTATTTTATTTAATAACATATAATATTAAGAAGAAGAAAAGAACGTGAACGAATTAATAATAATATAGATATATTATGATCATATATTTCATAACAACCTACCGCTTTAGAAAAGAATGTTTTGAACACAAACACTTTTTTAAATGAGTCACAATTTAACAATAATCACAAAATATGACTAGAAAATGGGGGAAAACGTCAAAAAGAAAAGAAGAAAGAGAGAAAATATATATATTTACCATCATAAGAAGAAATATCTGACAATTGAGAAAAAGAAACTTGAACAGCAGGATGAAGAAGGAAGAAAAAATAATTTGAACAGCAGGATGAAGACAAAAGAAAAAAAATAAGAAGAAATATAGCAAGTTATTGTTCGTTTGTTGATGATCATTTCTTAAAAAATCAGTAATTCTTTTTGTTGAAACAATCATATGGTAATGTTGCTTCATAATCACGTCGAGTAGTATCATGTTTGGCACCTATAACCATATGATCATGTGAAAATTTTATGTGTCGATATTGTACACCATAATAACGAAGAATTTTGCTGACGTTCCTTAATTTAAATCTATGATAAAATGGTCTAGTTAAATAATATTTATATCGAGATACTCTTAAATGGATGTTCCTTTTTCGATTTCTCTTTTGTTTTGATTGAACTGATCTTTTTTTTCAATTTCGTTGTTGTTGATGTTCAGGCGAATTATTCATCTCGTTAATAACCATAATATGTGTGAGGTTCTCTTCTGGGATGTAGACTATGGTTCCTTCCTCTGATCTAGTTGAATGTGAATATTAATATCTCTAAGATTTGAATCTGAATATAACGAGAATCTCACGATGAAAAGGCTTACTGGTTCTTGCAGAAACAATGTACTTGATGTAAGTGATGATAAATTTTATTGACAAAGTCAATAAAATCAGAGAATAACAATAACAGAAATCACAAAATGTAGAACAACCAACGGAAAATAACAAAAACATGTCTATATATATGAGATGAAATACAGAAAAATAATAATAGAGAAAAATAGAACTGCGCAATAACAATGAAAATGACGCAACAATAGAAAAAGAGAATCTCATGATCATCAATATAACAATATATACACATGTCCATATATATGTACTAGGAAAGAAAAAAAAAGATATATATGTATGTTTATATATATATAAGCGGTCACTCGAACCATACATAGGATAGAAGAGAGAGAAACAACATATATATATATATAACATATACATAGCGTCATAGTCACGTCTATGGACGCTAACAATATGGTTGTCAATACTCCTCACCTCATTAGCATAATTAGTATCTATTATAACATCATTATTATGATCCATTATATTATCAATTGTTGGTACTTTCACTTATAATTCAACGTCGTCTATATCTTGAATAATATTTTGTGTTTTAAAATCATTTTTATCTGGTCCAAGCAACTGGTTCAAATAAATTTCTTCATCCGATGAGATCGATTCAATGTCAGAATCGATGCATCTAAGTATATTCGACAACTTCTATACAATAATACTTTTGATTTTTTTTGATGATGTTGCTGTAGGTAAAGATAGAAATGTATTTGAATTAAATATAATAAATATTTCATTATTCATCCTATTCTTGATTTTTTTAAATGTCCATTTTTCAGTAATTGGTCTTATTAAAAATGTAACAGCCATAACATCATGTGTAGCGTAACGTATCATTTTCTTTCGATCTTCATGTGATAATAATGAATAACTTGATGTTAGACTTAATGACCAATGACTTAATTGATATGTTTTATTAATAAATAAATTGAAACCATATAAAAATGTCTTTTGAAGAGACCAGAGTTCATTGATTTTGTATGGTGATGGTGGATAACATAATCATGATGGTACTTGATAAGGATGTTGTTGTATAATTTCATTATTATTATTCATATCATTGAGATATGACAGATTCTCCCTCCTACACTGGGAAGAGACCCAGTTATACTAGCTAGAGAAATGTGGTTGAATATTTGTTAATTTCAATCGATAAAGAAGAGAAATCAATTTTTCCCTCACAACATTAGTCATACAATGATATGTCATAAAATTTCTCTTAATACATACTGGTGATAATTGATAAAATTCTTCCTCTTTTGGTGTAAACGATGTTACTAAAACATTCTTCGAAATTGTTTGTTCATTCGTAGCGAGTTCTTTAGCAAAAGCACTCGATGTGTTTAAGCTCATGATTGGTCTGGAATAAAAAGAAGATCTAAAAATGAGTTTTCACAGTTGATGATGCTATCTTAATACAATTCATGGTTAACAGAATAAAAATGAATCGGAGCGGGAACATTTAAAAAATCTCTTATTATAGAATATCTTGATGGAATTCGATAAAAGTTAAAAGAAATGTACAAAAAGATTTCATCGATATATTTTCCTGTGTGTAAATTTGATCAATTCATAATCACTACTATTAACTTTATAGTATAATCTCTCTCATAGTCACATTCAAAATGATAAATAAATTTCTGATCATTCTACTTTCAACTAACAATTTAGTCAGCAACATTTACATTAGTACTTTTGATAAAAATGCTTTTTTCTCAACACACTTGTTAACTAATGAGGAAAATTATAGAAATAAACCATCTTGAGGGCGGGTGTGGATGTGGGTGTGGGTGTATCTTATTTAACTCACCCACGCCCATACCCACACCAACACCTACACCCCGCTATAATAAATGCATCAGTTTCTAGTATATTTGACTGAATATATCAATCTTTCAAGTAAATATAATATTCTGAGTGCCACTTCTTTGAGTACTTGGAACTACTTGGTTTGTATGTATACCGCAAACGAGTTCTTTGAGAGACACGGCCAACTGATTTCGAAATCTTTTTGATAAACAATAGCAATAAAATGAACTCTAAAAGAAAGAAGAATATATATTTGTCTTCAAAATGAGGAAAAGACAATTTACTGCAAATGGGCCATAAGAATAAGTGGCAATTAATGAAGAAATTGGCTGTTCCACTGCTCATCTATAAGAATCTTTAGCTACATTTGCTGTAGCCACTGAATAAATTATCGAAGCTGCATTTGGGCCATTAAAAACTAATACAGCAACTATCTGAAATAATGCCATATTAATTGTTTGTTTTGTAAGAGAAGAAAGTGTTCTCGTTACACTGATAGTTTTCATATGTCGGACAGTAAGAAACCCAACAATAGAGACCACGACGATGAGTATAATAGTGACAACACAAAGAGCGACAAGATAGCTGCGATACTGAGCAAATATTGTATTTGTTCCGATGCCAAGGGGGGGAAAGCGAGACTTTATCTACTTCCGTACTTCCTTTGTACTCCTATTGTACTCCCTTTGTACTCCCATTGTACTCCCATCGTACTCCCATTTTACTCCCTTGTACTCCCATCGTACTTCCTTGTACTCCTACTGTACTCCCATCGTACTCCCTTGTACTCCTATTGTACTCCCAGCGTACTCCCTTGTACTCCTACCGTACTCCCTTGTACTCCCATCGTACTTCATTATACTCGCATTGTACTTCCATCGTATCCTTTTGACAAGATATGCAAGGGAGTACAATGGGAGTACGATGGAAGTACAAAGAGAGTATAATATGGAATTACAATGGATCATTGTACTTCCTTGTACTCCCATCGTACTCCTATTGTACTCCCATTGTACTTCCATCATACTCCCATTGTAATCCCCTGTACTCCCATCGTACTTCCTTGTACTCCCATTATACTTCCATTGTACTCCCTCGTACTCCCATCGTACTCCCATTGTACTCCCATGTACTCCCATCGTACTTCAAAAAGTTTTGAAGTAGATGAAGTCTCGCTTTTTCCCCCTTGTCCGATGCACATGGGGGCACCACCTACGATAACAAGATCTTAAAAGATGAAGTAGGGTATCTCATGGATAAACCAAAAACAAAGAGTACCAACTATTAAATATCGTGCTATCTGAATAGTGCTCTTCTGTCGTAGAACAACTGATGGAGAAGAACACATGAATGCACCAATAGCTTGTAAGCAAATCAAAGTATATGTACTTTGACTATTAATATCGAGAAAACCCACGCGAGTTTTACACCAAATTCTATTCATCAGAGTAAAATCTATTTGAAAGCCAGTAGCAAGAATTCGAGTAGCTAAACCAGCAAGAAGAGCGTAGAGATCAATAAAAGCTCGAACGAACATGTCAAGTGAACATGCATTATTTTTGTAATTTCCCACTTTAATGAAGGCGATTATATTAAGAATATTTCCTAATACACCACCGATCAATAGAATAAACCCTAAAATAAAACTTAGATATCGAAAAGCAGTTTGAAGTTGTAGGATTGCTAATGTAATGCTTGTATTATTGTTGGATGACATCGTGATATTTCTTGTGAATACTTTTATCTAATGAATAAAGATGTTAGTTTAAGAATATTTTCTTTTTATTATAGTAAGTAGGAAAGAAAACTAATGACGTAGGAAGAAAACTAGCTTTTTCTTTTCGTTAGAAGTCCGCTGGAATAATTTAATGAGAAACAAAAAATGTGCTACAGTCGTTTTTCTATGAAAGATCACAAAGAAGAGAAGCATATTTTTGAATAATTAAACTAGAAATGACTGTGTAGAGCAAGACAAACTGGCCGAGTTTGCTCACAAGAAGTATTGTATCAAACAACTCAATAATATATTAAATTGAGGGTGTGGGTGTTGGCGGGTGAGTGTGGAGGTGTGGGTGTGGTAATAAGAGAATACCCACACCGATACCCACACCCACACCCCTCAAGATTGATTTGTGAACTAATTTATGCATAAAAAGTAATCTAGATATATCATGATTTCTTCTGGATTTCAAAAGTTATTTGTTGATTTATAATAACATGTTTAGACGTAGTAGTATGCGAATATTTATACAATTATTTAATGCAAATTTGATGAAACAATGTGGATATTCTAAAATACATTTGAAAACGTATTGGTATTAGAGATATGATTTATTTGGAGTATTTACAACATGTATATTTGATGAAGTGTGTATCTATTTGTGGGAATATAAGTATTAAAATATTTCCGTTATAGGCATAGACAAAATTGCAATCTAATGATTTAAAATTAGTATGGATGGGGTTTATAGCTTTGATGATCCGTTTATTGTTTTTAAAGATTAAAAAATAGTAAATACGTATGTAATACGCGAAACCAATAAAAGCTGCTTTAAGTTATACGTGATTTATCTCTCGTATCTTTTGTATTTGAAGTAATATTTATTCAAAACTAAATAATCTTTCATTTGATTGAACATTATCGTAACTATTGGAAAGTATTCACTTAGTGAATTGAAGCGTTGTTAGATTTAAAATAAAGAAAACATTTTAGCAAATCTAGGTCTACCTTATTCGCATTAGATATACAACCATGATTATTTATTCTGTTGTTCATAAAATTGGTTTGAATCAATATGAAATATTAGCAGAAGCGTATCGAGAAGGGTCAGTAGAACGTTATACCCTCTACTTTCGATACCTCGATATACCCCTGGATAACAACAAATAAAGTAATTGTATCTTTTCTTTTAACATAAACTTGCATGATGATACTACATTTTATTACGCATGTATAGTGATCAATTCGTCTAACAATGTTCTTATTCATCATAGATACGAAAAAGACGACAAAATAATGAAAAGGTTAAAAAATCATTTTTGCTTATGAGAATATCGTAGCCAAAAAATATTTCGTCGGACTTGAGACCATTCATTAGTGAATATTTCAGTCTAGCCTAACAAGTAAGAGAACAGCATCGACTATCATATATGAATTGTATTTTTTCTGAGTGTTTATAGTATTTTGTATATAATTAGCAGACATGTTCATTAAAAATTTTATCACATTAAGAATAGATTTATTCTCAGTACATTTTACACTTATGGATCTTTCATCATCTTTTTTTTCCTATATCTAGCAGATAATTTTATTCACAATATTCAGAAGCTAATTTTTCAAGAAACACTGTTTTTTATCGATTAATAATTCTAAATACTGATCTTTGCGTATTCTGACCGCAATGACCTGCTAGATTCCATGAATAGATTAGTCTGGCATGTCGAAGTTATACTACGCATTTAATTTTGTTCCAAACAAAAATAATTCATCAAAATTTCCTTTTTAATTTTTTCACATGATTTGTTCATAGAAAAATATATTTTTATTTTTTTAGATAAAAGACAAAATATACATTTGATTTATATTTGGGTCATGGACATTTATTAGAATAGAATTGAAAGAAAAAAATCATCTGCAAATTATTCACACATAACTCCTATCAAATTCGTAAGAATATGATATATTTATCTGTCGAGAAGATAATATTTACTTTAAGAAATTAATAAATTTCTTTTATTTTTCAGATAAATAAATAAAATAGAAATAACAATGTTTTAAAAATGCATCTATAACGAAATGAAGTTATGCAGAAATATTAAATTAATCCGCGCAAAATAATTTTTTTTGTTTCAGATATGTTGGAACGGAAAAATTCAACCCGATTTCTGGTGTTGGATTAGATAATAGTTTAATAATAAATTCATAATGGGAAGAAAGACATGCAAGAATGTGAAACTATCGAAGAATTTTTCTTTTAACGTAAAGTAAGTAACTCTATTGTATTTTTTTCTTCGGTATACTTTCATATTCTAGATATTGAAAATGATCATATACAAAGTATTTCATTTCATATGATTCATATTAAATTTAATTTGATGAAAAGTTTGTGTCCTTAACCTTTGTGATTCAAACAAAAAGTAAGAAATTCATTTTATTACATAATAAGAGACATTCATTCATTTATGTAATTAAGAGATCAGAATAGATTTACGTATAGTATCATCTTTTTTCTTATTTATTTACGATTTACTTCAATATTTCTTATTTTCATGGTTTGATTCGATATCTCATCTCATATTATGCAGCAAACCTATTCAGATATATATATATATATCTATAAACTGCTGTAAGACGTATACAGTTCTCATAATGAATAAATAAATGTCCATTCAGATCCAATCCTATTGGGTTCAAAGGAACTTTCATTTTAATTCCATTCTGTTCGGTTATAAAAACTTCCATTTTAATTCCGTTCTGTTCGGTCAAAAAAACTTCCATTTTAATTTCATTCTATTCGCTTCAAAAAAATTTACATTCTGATTCGATTCGATTCGACTGTTATGAGTTAATATTCTTTTCCGACAGACTTCTATCCATCTATTTCTACGTAGAGATTCATTTTGTAATATTTTACCTATCTTCACAAACTGTCTTTATTAAATTGTAATTGAGCATGTTTTAACTTTTCAGATGATATTATTTTTTTCTATTTAAATTATTTGATAAATGAAGTCACACTGCCATCTTCATTCAATTAAACTCAGTTTTTGGAAACCTCTACTTGATTTAATTCGTAGTCAATTCTATTCGACGACAGTATCATTCAGTTCGTTATCAGTTTAATTCGACCTATAGGTCGAACTTAATGTACTTTATAACATTATGAAACGTATTTAGATATCACATTTTAGAAGGTAAGGCTAGAAATAGTTATATATTAACATTATCTGAATATCTTTTAATTATAAATTTTATAATATATACTACTTAGAAAGAAAAACTACTTAGACAAGTGCATTTAGAACATCAAAAAAAAATACGAAGAATAGAGTAACAAGAGGAACGACAAAAAAAGGAAAAATGTTGACCTTGTGCTATAAATAATATTTTAGAATGACTGTTTTATCGATGACCTTATATAAGTACTTTCTTATCTCCTTGGTTATTCTTTGAAATTAAGTATTAGTAGAACGGGTAGGAAGAAACAAAAGTATAGTTATTGTCTAATGTTTGTTTTCGATGTGACAATTATGATTCATATATATTATAAGTTTTCGAGTATTACTGAAGCCGATAGACGATTTTATTTACGATAAAAATTATTACTCATACCCTACAAAAAATATTATTTTTACCTAGAAGTGAAAGAAAAAGTATTGTTTTATTATGTTAGAAAGCTTTAAAATATTTATGACAATTTTATATGAGCGAACCTTCTGTATATAAAAATAGGTCTGTAAAATTAGCTTTTATTGTGTACTTATTCAAATAAATATAGAAACGTACTTATATTTCTTGACATGTTAGTTTTTTTTTATTGGATGTTACACTCTCGCAAACATAAGAGTAGACTTTGTTGGTTTTATATATTTTTAACATGTTCTATGAAAAATTTTGTGATTATTGACAAAAAATTATTATTTGAATTAACAAAAATCATAAAAAAAAAGAAATCATGTTGTATAACATTATTAATAATCATATAAATACTTTTTCTTTATTTCAAAATATTTTCTCGATCGTAGATAAGCAAAAAAAACAGTGACTCGCTATGATGACATTCTTTTCTATTTCAAACTCTTTTCTTTCTCTCTATTTGCTTACTGTCTCTCATTTCTTTGGTGTGTGTATGTGAATATATGTACACGTTTATGTTTTTAAGTATATATCATTTTTGTCTACATATTATTTTTTTATTCTGTCTAAAAAAAATATATGATTGTGTGTTTTTTTTTGTCGCTCGAAAGCAAAGGTTTATTTATACAATATTTTAAACAGCTCGTAAGAGCAATTAGTCTGAGGTAAAAAATCAAGTATATATTCTTTTTTTCAGATAATACAGTAATGAAAATAATATAAACTAAAATGAACAGTAACAACGATATAATAGCAAATGATGATCAATCAATAAGTATTGATCATGATATCTATGACGGTGATTATAATCAACGTTCTCAAAATGATATCACACATTCAAGTGGTAGCAGTATAAGTAGTAATAGTACAACAACAGTAAATAATGGTACAAGACGTTTAAAAGATGTACCACCATGCTTTGTATGTGGAGCGGAAGCTCATGGTTATAATTTTGATCAAAGTAATAAGCTTAATATTCTAAGTAGATTTTATTTTGATTATTTTTGATTTAGTTACATGTGAATCTTGTAAAGCATTCTTTCGTCGTAATGCATTGAAATCAATGGTAAATATATTAAAAGCAATACTGTCTCTTACATGTATATATATTCATAATTTAGGAAAGATTTCGTTGCCGTAGTAATGATACATGTGTTATTACAGCAGTCACACGTAAACGATGTAAACGTTGTCGATTAATTAAATGCTTTGAAGTTGGTAAGTATTTATTAATAATGAAAAAAAAGAGAACACGTCTTATTCTATTTTATTTAATTAGGTATGCGTAAAGATTGGATTTTATCAGATGAGGAAAAAACTATAAAACGTGAAAAAATTGTAATCAATCGTCTACGAAAACAACAAGCACAAATAGTTTTACAACAGCAAACTAACGATTTAATTCATTCAAATTTAAAAACAAGAACTAAAACAACTACTGTAAGTTTCAAATTTTTCTTCTCCTATATTGATTAATTTGCAAAGAGTTTAATGATGAGCTAAGTGCGAGTGAAATATTTATAGAATAGAAAGTATACCCTTTTTTCTAATGTTTCAAGGAGAAATACTAAATATTTTAACTATGGAATCTGATAAAAGGCATTTAGTTTAATCATAGACATCGTAACCATATTTATCGAGACCTCACGTGACACTCCGTGCACTCCGTACACGTCGTCAGTCAAAACACAACAATACATACAGTATATAACAGAACGAAAGGAAGATTCAGTATATTCGAGCGTTTAAATATAATGGCTCTTTCTTTCGTTCTGTTATATATTGTGTGTATAAACTATCTTCTTAATGTACGTATTGTTATTTTTTGACTGACTATATGCACAGAGTGTTACGAGACGTCTCGATAAATATGATTACGGTGTCTATGATTCTACTTTTCTTAATCAAATGTATCTACCGATTAAAACAAAATGATTCATTTAGTTTATGTAAAAATTACGAGAAATAATATAATCATTTAGATTTTGTTTAAGATATTTTCTACATTGGATATGATATCGAACTATTTAGAACTATCAAAGACAGACGACAGGTATTATAAAGTTTGTCAATAATCTGATCCCCTTTCGTAGAGACAACACTTATGTTCGTCGAAGCTTGAAAATGTAGTTTAGTTTTCATACAATATATCAGCTTTATTGAATAATTATGATGTACTAAAGGTTTTTATAGTCTGTTGTTTATCTTTCAAACGAATTCTATCGAAGAATTATATATATCTATTCAAATTTCTTTTCTTTAGACGTCTTTATCTCAGGTTCAACAATCTCCTATTCTTACATATGCATTAATGTATATGTATCAACCATGTGATCAAAAAATGTATGGTCGTCAGCAATTTCTACTCGGACAGTTATCAGATGGTTATCAACTAATCTGTCAACAATACCCTCAACCACATAAATTTCTTTATCGTAATACAATTATATCTCAAACTGAAACATTCGATTATAAATTATCATTAATTCAAGATTTAACACGAGAATTAACACAAACGACAACATTACGTTTATTAAATTTTTTTAATTTAATACCTGAATTTCAATCATTAACACAACAGCAAAAAACATCGATTCTAATTCAAAATATGTTATCAATTTTTATGTTTCATGGTGCATTAACATATGATCCTAATAATGATACCTTTGTTGATCGTACAACAAGTAAAAACTAAAAAATTTACTTAATAAATAATAAATAATAATAAACGAATAATTTTTTCAGGTGATGAACCATATGATGCAAAATATTTACTTTATGTTTATGGAGCAAGAGTCTATAACGATTTTACAGCATTAGCTCGACAATTACTAGATGTTACATATCAATTAGCAAACGATAAACGAGCAGATGAACATGGACATACTTTATTTCTATTACTTATGGTAATTCTTTTATTTTCTGATGATATTCAAATGAATTTAAGTGAAAATAATCAAACTAACTTGAGTAAAATTCAAGGAAATTATATTGATATAACATGCCGATATTTACATGATAATATCGGCTATACAACTGGACAACGAATGTTTCGAAAACTTATTCCCTTACTTAGCGGTAATTATAAATATTAAAAAAAGGATTTTTCTGCTAAAAATTTGTAGAGTAACTAAACAAATAGTGTGTAGAATGACGATTTTTTTTGCTAAATATATTTTAAATAATAGATTTAGGACAGTCGCTTGCAGAGGCGTTTTGTCATGACTTTTGGTGTTAATGTTTGTATTTGAGTGAATAAAGTTGAGCAAATGTCCGTTTTCTATTTTTGTAAGATTAAATTTATTTTTGAAAACATGTACGGTACTAACAGAGAAGAAAGATGATACATCGATATATATGTTTATTATTATTATCACTTCCATATAACCCATAGTTATCCGTTCTTGTTCCAGAGTTTACTTATCTAAGTTTTTCATAACCTACAGAAATATCTATATATTAATTTTTTAATTAAAAAAACTAGATCTTCAAAAACTATGTTCAACATTAGCTAATGTTAATTTATGTGAAATGGCAGAAGATAGTAATAAATCATCATCATCTGGTACAATAACAACAACTAATAGTAATAGTAATAGTAATTATAATCAAGGACCAGTTCAATCATCGTTAATATCTTCTTCAACTGAATTTAGTTCAACAATCATTAGTGGAAGATCTCATTTAAACGAATTACAAAAGGAAAATCGAGCGCCATCATCATTCAATTCACCATCTTCGGTACTATCTAATCAATCATCACCATTCATTCTATCAAACAGTACCACAACAACACTTCCTAATTATCCAGTGTAAATTCAGCCTTTGTGATCAATTCTAGTAGATCTTTTGAAATTATTTGTTTGTCTTATGTCCTGTCTATTAGTCATACTATGTTTATTCATATAATTACTAATGTTTCTCTAGTTTGTTTTTTGTGTATCTGTCGAACAAATCAACATATTTATAAATATGTATAGATATAACATATACATGATTATTTTCACGACACATTTGTTATTTTGATTTTATTGATCTTCTTTTGCTTCGTCTGTGTTATCGATGACATGAACTATGTTTTCGCTTCAAATATATATATTTTAATGCGCGAACTTATACCTTCTTTTTTATATTGCCTGAATATGATTTTGCTTATTGTTCCGGTTTGTGTTAGAGTTGCACAGATGTATGCTAATGAAAGTGAAATAAAAAGAAAAAACCTCTAGTCCTATGTCCTAGTATTAATAGTATATACAATAATAATAACAATGAGAGAAATTATGTATTACTCAAAAAACAATGATATGAGAAACTAAATTTTACTTTTATGTTAACTGCTGTATACTTACGATATATATTGACCATAAAAAATCTCATGTAACTTTCGAATTGGTTGCATGATCCAACTATTATTTTCTCTTATTTATTTCCATGATGAAATCCTAAGCAAGATTGCAAAAAAACCACATATCTTATGTATGCATGTATTTTTCTTGATTTTTCGAGAATATTCACGATTTTTCTAGGTGATTTTGTACATTATATAAAAGGATGTCAATTTTTTTCTTTTTTGATCATATAATATATCATACAATACAAGAAAATGGCTGACAGTTCCAAACAAGGTTTTCTCAACAGTCTCTTTCAATGGACAGTTAAAAGTACCGCAGCAGAAGAAGCAGCAAAACCCACTACAACTAGTGATGTTAAACCTATGAATGAAGAGGTAATTCAATCTTTTTATTTATTTAAAAAATAATTTAATCTATATTATTGTTGTTTTTTTTTAGAGCAAAAAATGGCTTAATGATGCATTAGAAAATATGACAGTTAATCCGGTTGATAGACTTAAATTATGTATCAGTAAAATAAAAGATCCTCAAGTTGATGAACAACAAAAAAAAGAATTTCTTGATGAACTTTGTCATTGGTCAGAAGAACTTGATTTAGCAAAAGATTTTTTTACAATTGGTGGTCTTGATATTCTAACACCATTATTAGATCATAATAATGATGGTCTACGTATGCAAGCTTGTTCATTATTAGCAAATCTTGTTCAAAATAATGATCATTGTCAAAGAATTGTTGTTCAATCAGGTTTACAACAAAAATTATTAAAAATTGTTGGTGAATCAAATAATCCTGATCTAAAAACTAAAGCTGTGACAGCGATATCAGGTATAAGAATTTAATTAAATATCACTTGATGAAATATTTGATTTTTTTTGTTTAGCTTTAATTCGAGGTTATACTCTTGGTCAACTTCAATTACAAAAATTTCAAGGTGCAAAAATATTAATTCGAGCTTTAGCATCACCAGTACCATGTTTACAAAATAAATTATGTTTTCTTATTAATACAATTTGTTCATCAAGCGCACAAATGAAAAGTAAATATCGTCTTTTTTTGTATTTGTCTTTATTTTTACATATTTCTTTTCTAGAACTATTTTATGAGAATGGTGCATTAGAAGAATTAATACGTTTATTCAATAATGAAGCATGTCCAGATCATCAACATGTACTTGAAACTATTCATACATTATCAAATGCAAAACCAAATGCAATATGTCTAATTGTTGAACGTGATCCATCATTAGCTGAACAATTTCAGTTAAAACTTTATGAACGACGTCAAGCAATTCAAAGCTCAGAAGACGAGCAACTAGTTAGTTTTTGATTGAAAAAAAATAAAACATTATTTCTAATTTTTAATTTTAATTTAGGATGAAATGAATTTAATAAATCAATTACAAACATTACTCAGTCCACCTACAACAGAAAATATTCCAACATCAACTACAACAGATCAACAATTAGTTCCAACATCTTGATAAAAACTAATTTTTTGCGATTGTAGCGATTTATCTATTTTTTAAGTAAAGAAAAAAGTAAAGCAAGAAAAATGATTTATCTTTGAAAATATTTGGTTCTGCATACAAAGAAATATAAATGAATATTACATATATTTTCTACATCTACTAATTAATATACTTACAAACAGTATTAACTTCTTCAAAATGAGAGACGCATATAAACGTCCGACTGTAAATCTTAGGTGTGGACTTTTCTCTTTTATCCATCGTCGTTACCATACCCACACTTACCCTTAGTTTTATTCAAGCTAGTCAAATTTATACAAATTTCAAATCACCAGAAACTTGCAAGTGTTCGGGCAATTGTAGCACAAATCGGTATTACTGTAAGCAAGATAATAGAAAATACCGTACGAAATGTCACAGCGATAATCATTCAAAATGTAAAAATTGCTAGATTTTTCTTTATATTTATCAATACTAGATTATAGATTTATTTTGTTTACTACAGTTGTTTTTTTTCAATACTTTGCTTTATTTCTACCTCATCTATTCAATAAAAGACTATTTTTGATATTGAAAACAGTTTTACGATTATTTATTTTAGAGTCAACTCCGACATATATATAACTTATTTTCCTATGAAACATAATTATCCATTAAACCTTTGAATTGCATTGAAACTTATTTTATCTTTTCATATTCATTCAACAGATATTTAGACGTTCATAAACATACTATAACTCTCAATACATGGTTAATAAAAACTATTTATAAATTTAACATCATAATTGAAATAATGCTTATCACAAAGAAAAACGACAAAAGACTGTTGCTTATCTTTTTGTTGACTATATAAGTCAAGAACATTTAACAAATTTCTAATTCTTTAAATAGATCAATTTGAAAAACAAAATCTGAAACTATTAATGAATAGATAAATAATAAATTATTGATTGCATATAATATGCAGAATTTAAAGTATAAAGATCATGTTTGAAAACAAATAGATTTATTATTTTAATAAATATGTATAATAAAATTTTATCAAATATTTAATAAATGTTAATAACTTACTTTTCTATAAATAAAACTATTTGATCAATTTTTGATTCAAAATGAATATATTTTTTTAATTGAACTTGATGATTAAATTAATATAATTTATCTAGAATAAATCACATATTTTACTTCCAAATTAAAAAAGTATGTTTTTTGATAAATATTAGCACATTGAACATTAGTTTCTATGTTACATTGAAATACAGAATCAGAAGAATGTGCCGTTGACTCTTCGTTGTCAACAATGAGAGGAAAGTAAAAGAAAAAGAAGAAGAAAAACATATATATATAAATAGTGCACTGTGTGACACAGAACGAAAGGAAACGACAAAAAAGCTATTCGTACTGCGCTCTAACATCATATCTATTTATTACATAACGTTAAAACGTACGTCGATTTATTATTAATTCGATTTTAAAATCAGAAGACTTCCGATGATTTTGTTTCTTAGAAAAGAATTTATCTTATTTATACAGACTAATATCTCCATTTTTTCAAAGAAAACAATATGAGAATTTGTAAAGATTAGTAGAGAAAGCAGTTTTCAATCCTAATAAGGTTTTTTAAGGAAAATTATTCATTTTTTTTTGTTTTACAATCATCATATAGTATCATCGATGAGAAAAGTTTGTTCATTGTAATAGTTAACATTTCTTTTGCATTAACTTCTAGAATCTTCATGATAATAAATATCTTCTATAAAAAGAAAATATGCACTGTAGATGACCCGATGAGCAAAATTTGTAATAAAAAATGATTTTTATCATTTTATCTACAGTTTCGAAGAATAATTTTCAAATAGAAATAAAGGTGAGAAGAATGTTTGTATCTTTCGAGTTCGTTGTCTTTATTATACATAAGTTGGATCTATCAAACACTTTCTATGTACAAAAAGTATTAATTATATTTTCAACTCTATATTTTAGAATTCTACAACATTTCTAACATTCGATGTCATCTAAACGAAAACTACCTGCATCACAATCATCACAAGAAATTGATGGCGATTCAAATGTAAATAGATCAGAAGATTCATTTCGATCACATATTTGTCTCGTATGTGGTGATACAGCACGTATTATTAATTATGGAGCACTTTCTTGTCAATCATGTAAAATATTTTTTCGTCGGAATGGTTTTCGACCAGGAGTATGTATTTATGAGTAACTTTTAGTTAATTGTAACATGTATTATTTTACTTAATAGGGTGTTCGTCCATGTTGTTTTGACAAATGTTGTGAAATTAATATCCAGTCACGACATACATGTACAGATTGTCGTCTTACTAAATGTACTACGATGGGTATGTGTTCAGATCTAATTCGTAAAGATACAAAAAAATTAGAACGTAGTTCATTAAAGCAATCTTGTACTACTGATCAAAGCACATTTCAACAAGTCATAGTTCGTATAAATATTATAATATTTTCATTCTATATATAAAGCTACTAATATAAAATAATTTGGAAATTTTGATGTAGAATAATTTTGGATTTGAAGAGTAATCTTGCTTATAGATTGTACTAAACATGGCAAAGTACGAATAGAAATGAGCTAGTTTAGTGCTATTGACAAGTCTATACGAGAATTAAAATATAGATTTTAATTGTAATATTTATCTAGAACACAGATGTGTTGAGTTTATGTTGGTATTATCACATATTCAGATTAAGTATTAAATATTAATCATAAAAGCAACAAAAATAAAATTCAAATTTTGATATATATTTATGTTAAAGTAATTACAACTATTGAAACATATCTATTCAATTTATTTACTTTCTTTAGACTGTACTACAACTAGTTACATCAAATACATCAAATATTCTTCAGATTGATCAATCATCTCATTTTGATTCTCAGTGGACATTACTATCAAATATTGTACATTCTCATGATACATTTAGTACCATGTCTCAAATGCTTCTTACTGCCAACAATTTACCTTCATTAAGTGTTGAATCATATAGTAATGTGATTAATCCTATTGAAATTATCAATCAAATGTGTATATCAATGCAATCATTTATTAGTTCATCACCTGATTTTCGAGTATTAACTCTTAGTGAACAAACTTCATTGTTCGAACGAAACTTACATGGCGTTATTGCCTTTTATTCAACTCTTTTTTTTCGTCATACAGGTATTCTTCGTATTCCTAAATATCTCAATGCATTTATAACAATATATGGATCAGATGTAATGTTATCTCTTAGACATACTGTTGATCAATTAGATCCTGATCCAACATTGATTAAGATCATACTTATTATATTAGCTTTTTCATCGAATTGTCTTATTGTTAATACAAATAAAACAATGGAACGTGATAGTTTATTAGATGGCACATTTCGTCTATTGGGAAGTCAGAATGTTTATGTCGAACTTTTATGGAAATATTTGATTTCGAAATATGGTTATGGTGACTCAGTACTTCGTTTCACTCGACTTATACAAATCATCTTATGTGTAATAAAAAAATTAGGGATTGTTTATACAAATAATACAACTCACAGAACAATATCTGATGGTGTTACTGCCAAAACAAAACAAATTCTTGCTACCAATGAAAATGATCGAACTCTTTTATGGGGAAAGGTTTAATTAGTTAACTGTAATAAAAACTTTTGTTGATTATCTTTATCTCTTTTTTTGTAAACTATGTACAATATTGTAATGATGAAGATTGTCTAGCTGATACAACAGCTTGATATCAGGATATTAGTATTTTAAATAAAAAAAATGACAAGTTTTATTATTTCTATTGTTATTTCTATTTGGTAAATATCATAGAATATCTTTTATCAGTACAGAACATAGTTGTAGTAGAACTGTAGGATATTAGAAACATTGGTAGAACATTACAAAGAGTGTTTCATCACAATGGCTCATAACTACAGATCTCTTCTATTATCTATCTTAGTAGAATCATATAATAAATATATGCAAGGGAAGTTAACGACCGATTCGAGCTTTTGCTAGAACTATTTGATCCATCAGTCGTACGAACTATGAAATGATGTTTGTCAGATGCATCTTGATGAGATCTATCGGATAGTAATCTCACATGTTACAATACATGTGAAGAAACTCGAATATACATCAAACTAATAATTTCTACTATAGAGAAATATGCAACCCTACAATATTTTGAAAAACGGATTCGTTACAATAGTTGTCTCACACACAAGATACATTAGCAATCGATGCAGCTTTTGACGCTCCATCTAATGGTATACATATATCCATTATTAGTCAGACTTATCACACCTTTATGCTTATAAAACTTTCTAAACCAGATGTATACAGCGTATTTAATAAACCACTTCACTTGTAAAGATGTACCAACAGCGCATTACCTTTCTTTTGATAGAACCAGATGAATTTCATCGATCGGTATATGTTTGAAAAGAAATCATCGCAGTTTCATTAAGTGAACTACTCAAGATCTGTTTTCATGATACTCACATGAGTTCTTGCATATGACAATTCACTCCATAACGTGTGTCAATATTCAAATTGGTAGCATTCGATAGAACTCATTGAACTGCATCGATTAATATGTAATTTATAAAATCTAATCACATTTTTTTTCAATTATTTTTTGTATCTGATGATATAAGTATGTTGATAAGAGAAGGTATTTTCTAAAACAGTTCGCTCAACGATGTGTGCCAGTACTCAAATACATAGCAGTTGATACATGTCATTGAACTACATCGATTGATATATAATTCACATAATCTAATAATAATTTTCAATTGCTTTTTCATCTAATGATATAAGTAAGCGATGAGAATAGAAGATATTCTGTATAAAGATTCACTGAATGATGTGTGCCGATACTCAAACTGATGCGATTCGATAGATCTGGATTTGCTCACCCGATTGATTTAGAAATTAATGTACCTAACAATATTTTTCAAGACGATTAGATTTAAAGAATGAATAATGGAAAGTGTAGATGGATTGTTTGATTTTGAGGCCTGATCTGAGAATGTTGTTTATGAGCACCGTCGTTGAACAGTCATTATAAGAGAGAGAGAACGTTAAAAAATGATCAAGTTGTATGTCACCTCTCGCATATTATTTGAAAATATTGTCTGCTATAAAAGGATGCGATGAACCAACTGATGTGGAATGAGAGAGAGACAGAGAGTTAAGTTCCATTTTGTTCCACTTTATTTTCGCATAAAGCAAAGAGGAAGCAGAAGCATATGTCATTGATATGGTCGGTACTATTTTTTATCTATTATTTTAGTTTGGTGAAACTCAATTAGACTTGATCTTTGTGAGTTAATACGATTTTTTCAAAATCTTAAGTTCTAGATTTCATCGATAAAATAGTAGAATGAGTTTCTGCATTATTTGTCGATCAATTTCTGTGAATATTTGGATTTAACTAGAGAAGATAAGATATTAATATAATAATCGACTTAGTATAGTTTATGTTTTTTTCCTATTCGAATTAGTTTAAAAAGCTTTGGAAATAAAATTATATTGATTGACTACACTATTTTTTCGTATGAATGGAGGAAAATCTCTTCCTGTTAGTAGTGTATGTGTTTTACCTGAAATTTTGATGAAAAATTAGATCTTACAATAATGAGTTATTGATGTTTTATCCGACTAATATTCATTATTTTTCAGATATGCAAAAGACTTTGAAGTCCAAATGGAATACTTTATGTAATCAGCTCAACAAAAATAAAAAAACAAGAAAAATTCATATTCCGAATGATAAAATTATTAATGTAATATCGAATCTTGAATTAAAAGCAGTCGAATTGAATAAAGATAGAGTATGGAGATCCAATGATTCCCTCTATGGATCCAGATAGTTACTCAATTGAGTTTAACATTATCTATTCAAAATATAATGGGCATCCGAAAATACATTTATGCCACATGGAATCGAGAGTCATCGAACGGTAGATCTTATTTTACGCAGGATCTAAAGTCTGGCAAGATTCCTTCATATAAATGAAAAAGTAAGTTTAATGTAGTTAATGTAGAAAATTTTATT